GATGAAGAACAAGAAGAAGAGGAAGAAGAAGAAGAAGAAGACGAACAAGAAGATGATGATGATGATAACGACGACGAAGAAGAAGACGAAGATGATGATGATAAAGACGATGATGAAGAAGAAGATGAAGATGAAGATCATGATGATGACGATTGAATGTTGGACATCCATTGTAGCAAATTGAACTATCATTTCAATAGAGTTATCTAAAATACCATCTTAAAAGTTGTATGCAATTATTTATACATTTACTTTTAAAACCATTGATCCTTAGTTAATCATTTCTATTTTTTCGCTTTATTTGTAACCATTTCAATGCATTAATGACATGACAAGGTTCAGATCGTCCTGATAAAGGAAAGGGGGTAGCAAGGCCTAGAAAGAGGCAACGACAGGCACCAAAGTATGTACTTAGGGTGCCTGCTAGACTACCTACGACTGCTGCCGGCAGTACATCATCTGTGGGGCCTCCTCCTACCCCTATAGTACAGCCTCCTACACCTGCTGTAGACCCTACTCCTACCCCTGCAGTACACCCTTCTGCTACCCCTGCAACAGACCCTCTTCCTCCTCCTATAATTATAACCCCCACTCCTCCCCCTGTGGTTATAACCCCCACTCCTGTCTCTGACCCTACTTCTATACCTTCCTCATCTGTTATACCGCCTTTTGACACTGTCACACCATCTTCTGATCAAGATTCAAGTGGTGATGGTGAAGTTCTTGACCCTCTCCTCCATGATCGACCATGGATTGAGCTGTATGGTAAAGGTTAAGTTTTTAATCTCTTGATATAATTTGATGTTTAAACCCTATTGTAATTCAAATGACTTTTATCCTGTAGGTTTATTCCATCTAGGGTTGCTTCCCAGGCCATCACACGTTCAATTAAGCAACAGTTTCTAAGTCCATGGCCTACTTGGGGAGCAATACCTGATGACGACAAAAAGCCATTCTAGGAGCGCTTTCAGGTGAACAATCTATTTAACTAATTGTCCCTCTTATTTGAGTATGTTCTTTAATCAATGTTTGTTCTCTTTAATGTTACAGATGAAGGTGCAGTGGAAATCTGAACATGAAATTCAGATACACAGATATTTCCACATGAAAGCATCTCATCGATTTTCAGATATGTTTAGGGATGCCCTCAATGCAGGACAGCGCCCTTACTGGCTGGGTGAACAAATTTGGAACTCTTTACTGGCTCATTGGAATACAGTAGAGTTTCGCAATAAATGTGCCAAAGCCCAGAGGAACAGAGCGTCTGAAAGGGGTGACACCCTGCATACTGGTGGGTTGATCACCATTCATGAGCATGCCATTCATATGGTATAATTTCATTACATAAATTTTTATTTCATATATAAGTTATGTATTTATTTCATACGTACACTTCTAATTCTAAATTATGTTACAGGCACAAGCTCTAGGACGGGCGGTCCATGTTGATGAGGTCTTTGCACAGACTCATGTAAGGAAGGGCACTAATCAATTCGTTGATGAAAGATCTCGGAAGACTCATGTAAGCAAATAACATTATTACTATTACTAATTTTTCATTTAAGTTATTCTATCATTCCTTAACATTGCTTTTAATGTTTCAACAGGAAGAATTTTCTACGAGACTTTCACAGGTTAGATCTGAACATGAGTCAGCTCTTACACCGGATGATGCCAGTAATGCAGAAGATGACATCCGTAGGACACAGTGCTGGATCGACGTCGTTGGTGGGAAGAAAAAGGGATGAGTGTATGGTGCAGGACAACTTGCTGCAAACTATACAGCATCGAGAGGAGGTACTCTGAAGCACCAACCTTCTTCTTCCACCAGTACTCCTAACGAGGTCGTTCTCCGCCTCACGCAGGCACTGCAGCAACGTGACCAGGAAATCACTGATTTGAGAGCAGAGTTTACAAACTTCAAGGCCCTGGTCATGAGAGTGTTGCCTGGTACTTCACAGGATGAATTTGTTATCCCTCCGACCCAGCCACAACCCTCCTCGTCACCCGCTGTCCCTCAGCAGCCCTCATCAGTCCAGCCCTCATCAGTCCAACCCAATTCAGTCCAACCCACAGCAGTCCAACCATCTATACCGGAGCAGGATGATGAAGATCATTCTGATGATAACTATGTATAGTATTGAATTCATTTTGTTATAATCAAGTTATAGAAACAATTGGATATTATCACATTTGGAGTTTACATCATTTGGATGTTAGATCAGTTGGATAATTTGGATGGATGTTAGATCAGTTGGATAATTTGGATGGATGTTAGATCAGTTGGATAATTTGGATGTTAGAATATCATTATGTTACATTCTTATATGTTATTAATATAAATACATGTTCTATGCATTAATGGATGTTCTATGGATATTATTGATCAATGATTGCATCTTTGAGATGCACATTATGCAGGTCTGTATGTGCTTGAAAATTGTTATGCAGGTCTGTTTGTGTATGAAAATTGTTATGCAGGTTTGTTGTTGGTTTCATAATAAATACAAATGTCTCTGACATCTCCCTCGAACTTATCGAAGGCTTTTGCCCTTCGGTAAATACCCACGTTCGCTGATTACCGAAGGCTTTCGCCCTTCGGTAATTACCGAGGGCTTTTGCCCTCAGTAAATTACCAAAGGGCAGAGGCCCTCGGTAAATGTTAGCGACAAGAGAATTACCGAGGGCTTTTTGGCCGTCGATAAGCCGTCTGTAAATGTATTCTACCGACGGTTTTGGGCTGTTTCCGAGGGCTTTTGGCCTTCGGTAATGCCCTTCTTTTTTGTAGTGCGTGAATATGAGAAATATATATTTTTTTCAAGAGTCAAGAGAGGATATGTATGTATATACCTACGTATTTTTATTCTCATATCCGTCCTAATATTCGTCTTATTTTGTTTAAATTTTATATATATATATATATATATATATATATATATATATATATTATTCTCTTAGTTTTTAGTTTTATTTTTTTTCTTCCTTTACACACATTTACTTTTTTTAATTATTTGGCTTGTTTTATGTTCAATCATTATGGGATTAAGTTCGAAAGATGTATTACCAATTATAATGAATCAAATAGTTTGTATTATTTGAATATTTCTACTTTTTTTTTTCTCAAAGTATTTTATTCTTAATTTTTAGTGTGCAATTACGTAAACCTTTCATTTAGTAGGTAATATAAAAAGCTTATCTTTTTTAGTTTTTTATCCTTAATTTATGTATCGTATGACCCTTCTGACCCTATGAACCGAATGGTCCTACATACTGTATGGTCTTCCCGACCCCGTGAACCGAACCACTCTTCTTAGGTCGACCACTCATATCGGCCGACTGACCATCCCGGCTGACCAACCACCAAGCCAACCACCCAAACCGGCCGACCGACTAGGCCAGCCGACCAACCGCTAGGTCGATCGCATGGTTAGATTATAAACAGCGATAACTCATTAACACCCGAATGTAGGTTAAGGTGTCATTGGACCGTTATTAGGCCAGTGAAAGGTAAAAGCCCATTACATCCCATTACAACTACTATAAATAAAGGTCTCAGGTATGACTTCACACTAGACTGCACACACTGCACATTATGCACTACTTACATCACTTGTGATAACCGTTTGGTCATTTTACTAACTTGAGCATCGGAGCACCTTTAACAGGTACGCCCCTATCCGGCTTAGGGAAGGAGGGAGAGCGAGCTACGTCCGACAAGTCTGCAACACCCGTCCACTACAAGAATCGTCCATGCACTTCAATGTTCGTCCAACTCCCAACGTCTGTCCACTTGGAGCTATGTCTGACAAGTCTTCAACACTCGTTCGCTATAAGAATCGTCCATCCGCTTCAACGTTCCTCCAGCTCCCAACGTCCGTCTGCTTGCAGTAACGTCCGCCCGGTCTTCAACCTGAAGCACTTCGAACAATGTTTGTCCGTCTGGTCTTTAACGTCCACCCAATCTTCAATACAACCAGGAGCATTTTAGCAGGGGACCTCCAAACCTTACCAAAACATTTTGGCGCCCACCGTGGGGCCCGAGCGAGTATCCCCATTGTAGTCACAAGGAACTAGTGAGTGGTGCCTCAAAAGGACGTCAATTTAGCCTTTTGGACTCGTCCGCTCGGCCTCGTCCACTCAGCGTGGATGGTCGAGCTCCAACATCCTGCCTCTATTGTCTGGCCTAAAGTCTCGGCCATTCGGCGTCAAGCTCTCGCCCATCCGACCTCAAGCTCCCAGTAAACCGGCCTAGAATCTCGGTCATTAGGCGTCAAGTCTTGGTCGTCCGGCCTCAACTCTCGGCCATCCGACCTCAAGCTCTCGGTCATCCGGCCTCATGTCCCGGCCATCCGACCTCAACTCTCGGTGGTCCGGCCTCAAGCTCTGGGCCATTCGGCCTCAGGTACTTAGCCAAATCTGGCCTCTAGTATCCGACCATCCGGCCTCAACTCTCGGCCATTCGGCCTGAGGTACTTAGCCAAATTTGGCATCCAGCATCCGGCCATCCGACCTCAACTCTCGGCCATCAGGCCTCAAGTCTCGGTCGTCCGGGCTCAAGTCTCGGCCAATCAGCCTCAAGCTCTCGGCCCTTCGGCCTCAACCACTTAGCCAAATTTGGAATCCAACATTCGGCCTCTATTGTCCGGCCTCGACCAATTGGCCTCAACTTCTCGGCCTCCCATGCCCTCAAGAGTTCGGCCATAACTTTGTCTCAGGTACTTTCTCAAACATGGCCTCACAGGTACTTGACCTACCATTCTACGATGTACGTTCGGCCATACCTTAGCGTCGACTGTTGGGCCTTCCATGGCTTCACAGGTACTTAGCCAAATGTGGCGTCCAGCATCTGGCCATCCGGCCTCAACTCTCGACCATTCGGCCTCAAGTACTTAGCCAAATTTGGCATCCAGCATCCGGTCTCAACTCTCGGCAATCAGGCCTCAAGTCTCGGCCGTCCGGCCTCAACTCTCGGCCAGTCGGCCACAAGCTCTCGGCCCTTCGGCCTTAACCACTTAGCCAAATTTGGCATCCAGTACTCGGTTATTCGGCCTCCAAGGTACGTGTTCGACCTCTACCATTCAGCCATTCGGCCTCCGGTACTTAGCCAAAATTTGGCATCAAATATTCGGCCCTTCATCGTCAACCAGTAGGCCCTTCGGCCTCAACTGCTCAGCCATCCATGGCCTCAGGAATGGAAGCCAAAGTTTGCATCAAGCTTTCGACCTTAACACCTCGGGCAGTGAACGACGAGTTCATTACAGAACCACTGTCGCCCGATTCCAAATAAAGCCCAAATTGATGAACGGCGAATTCCTAAGGGAACCATTGTCAATTTGGTTGGGCAGTGAACGACGAGTTCATTACAGAACCACTATCGCCCGATTCCAGATAAAGCCCAAATTGATGAACGGTGAGTTCCTAAGGGAACCACTGTCAGTTTGGTCGGGTAGTGAACGACAAGTTCATTACAGAACCACTACCGCCTGATTCCAAATAAAGCCCAAATGGATGAACGGAGAGTTTCTAAGGGAAGCACTGTTAGTTTGGTCGTGCGGTGAATGACGAGTTCATTACATAACCATTGTCGCCTAGCTCCAAGTAAAACCCAAGTTGGGGAACGACACGTTTAGTAGATGAACCAGCGTCACCCCCTGGCCTTGCTTCGGCCTCAACTTGGTCTCCAAATTCTCGGCCTCCTCGGCTTCAACCTCTCGACCTCTAAAGGCCTTGATCGTTTAGCCTCCTCGGCCTCAACTTCTCGGCTTCTTCGGCCTCAACTCAGTTTCCAAAGGCCTCAACCGTTCAGCCTCCTCGGCCTCAACTTGGCCTCCAAAGGCCTCGACCATTCGGCCTTACTTCAGGCTCAACCTCTCGGCCTCCAAAGGTCTCGACCGTTTGGCTTCTTCGGCCTCAACTTGGCCTCCAAAGGCCTCAACTTCTCGACTTCCTCGGCCTCAACTTGGCCTCCAAAGGCCTTACCTTCTCGGCCTCGTCTGCCTCAACCTCTGGGCTGCCAAAGGCCTCGACCGTTCGGCCATCCGTGGCCTCAAGTACTTTGCCAAATTTGGCATCAAGTGTTCGGTCATTCGACCTCATAGCTGTTTTTCTTCAAAGGAATTCCGGCCGGCCTCCCCGAAGGTCGGCAATTGTGGATCTTCAATAAAGATATCCCGACCGGCCACACAGATAGTGGGCGACCATGGATCTTCACGACTTGTTACTTGTAAGGATCAGTAGATTATCCAGCTCGGCCGATGAAGGCACGACTCGTTTTTGCCTTTCATCCTCTCAACAAGCAGAGAGGACTTAAAGAAAAAAGCAAAACAAGAGATCCCATCCGTATCAGGAAGGTCATGCACAAAACCCCTTCGCATAATTTAAATCATGCTCGGGCTTGAGGGGCTTATGTACCGTATGGTCCTCCCAACCCCATGAACCAAACGACCCTTCTTAGGTCGACCACTCATACTGGCCGACCGACCATCCTGGCTGACCAACCACCAGGCCGACCATCCAGGCCGACCACCCATACCGGCCGACCGTCCAGGTCAGCCGACCAACCACCAGGCCGATCGCACGGTTAGATTATAAACAGTGATAACTCATTTACACCCTAAAGCAGGTTAAGGTGTCATTGGGCTGTTATTAGGCTAGTGAAAGGTAAAAGCCCATTACATTCCATTACGATTACTATAAATAAAGGTCTCAGGTATGACTTCACACCAGACTACACACACTACACATTATGCACTACTTGCATCACTTGTGATAATCGTTCGGTCATTTTACTGACTTGAGCGTCAGAGCACCTTTAATAGGTAGGCCCCATCCGGCTTGGAGAAGGAGGGAGAGCGAGCTACGTCCAACAAGTCTTCAACACCCGTTCGCTACAAGAATCGTCTGTTCGCTTCAACGTTCGTTCAGGTTCCAATGTCCGTCCACTTGGAGCTACGTCCGACAAGTCTTCAACACTCGTCCGCTATAAGAATCGTCTGTCAGATTCAACATTCCTCCAGCTCCCAACGTCCGTCCGCTTGGAGTAACGTTCGCCTGGTCTTCAACCCGAAGAGCTTCGAACAGCGTTTGTCCGTCTAATTTTTAACGTCCACCTAGTCTTCAATATAACCAGGAGTGTTTTAGCAGGGGACGTCCAAACCCTACCCAAACAGTTTCATTTATTTTACTAATTCTTTTTGCATTATCTATTAAAAGTTTGACTAGTTTGTTATATCTTAAAAGTTTTTCTTAAGTTTTACTTTTTCATCTTATCGCATTTAATTTTGCATTTGTTTTTCTTTCTAATTTTCGTTAAATTGTCTATCAAATAGTTTTTAAGACACGTTTTATCATTTTTACTTATTTATAATATTTTCATTTGGTTGTTTATTTTTATAATGTAAAATACCATTACGATTATTTTTTTTATAATTAATTTTATTTCCAACTCATTATCATAAATATACTTTTTATCACCATAACTATATACATACATTTTATTTATCATATTATAATAACTTAATGTCATTGTAGTGAATTTTATTGGGTTAAATATGTTTTTAGTCCCTAAACTATCAAGCGAATTTGTTTTTAGTCCCTCTTTCAAACTAAGCTACATTTCGGTCCTTCTCCATAAGGAAACCATAATTTTTCGTCCTTCAAAACCAACAGCATTAAAAACCAGCTCAGGTGGCTAACATGTGTCACGTCATTTTTTCTCTGACACTCAGTAAACTTTTCCCAGCTTTTCTCCCTTCGTGTCATCTCCTTCCTTGCATCTTCTGCACGTTCTTCTCTTCTGTGTTTTCTTCCAAACTTCTGTGTGCTCTGCCTCTTGATCTTTGATGCCGTTAGCTGCGGCGGCACCTCCCGCTACCGCTATCGCCAGTGTGGTGGTGGCGAAGGAAACGTTGGTGACTTTAGCTTGGTGGCTAGCCATCTAGAGAAGGAGGAGAGGTCAGAGAAGAGGTCGGAGAAGTTGTCGGATTTGCTGAACGCGGTGGAGACGAAAACAGATGCGGAGGCGGAGAGGAAAGAGGAGGCATTGGCGAAGCTGAAGCGAGTGGTGAAGGAGTTGCGCGAAGAAGACCTCTCGATGCGAAGAATTGCGGCGGAGAGAGTGAGGTCACTGGCGAAGGAAGATGTCGAAGCGAGAGCGAATCTCGCAGTGCTCGGAGTAATTCCTCCTCTCGTCGAAATGCTCGATTCGGAAGACGCTCATTCACAACTCGTTCGCTCTATGCTTTGCTCAATCTCGGAATCAGTAACAATGCGTGCGTAATTTTCATTTTCATTCAAAATCCACCGTGGTGTTTACCCAAATATTCATATATCTGAATTTTAATGTTAATTTAATTATTTCAGAAACAAAGCGACTGTAGTGAAAATCGACACTGTACACAAGATGCTAAAACTAATTGAATCAAGTGATTCAAATTTGTCTGTGGCCGAAGTGATTGTTTCGAATTTCCTTGGATTGAGTGCTTTGGATTCAAATAAACCCATAGTTGGTTCCTCCGGTGCAATACCATTCCTTGTTAGCACCCTAAAAAGTTTAGAGGCTAGTAAAACCGTACCACAATCCCAATGGCAAGTGAAGCAAGATGCTCTGCGCGCTTTGTACAATCTTTCAATATGATTGTACAACCTTTTGGTTATTCTAGAGACTGATTTGGTTTGGTTTTTAGTTAGCTCGGAAGAGAGCGTCCAGAATATTTGAGTGTTTGAGGGTGGACAAGGGGAAACCTTGGTTGATCTCATCAACCATTATAAATGGGAAGGGGGTTGAGTTTCATGGTGGTGAAGATGAAGGACTTCAAGATCTGGCTCCCAGGGGATGACCGTGGGAAGGAAGGGGCGACTCGCGATCACGGCGGTGGCGACTCGCGATCATGGCGGTGGCGACTCGTGGAGGTGGTTGTGGTAGAGTCAAAGGGAGAGGGAGGGAGAGGAGATGAGAAAGATTGACTAATGTCAAAAAAAAAATGACGTGACACACCACCATTAGCCACCTTAGCTGATTTTTAACGTCGTTGGTTTTGGAGGACAAAAAATTATGGTTTCCTTAAGGAGAAGGATCAAAATGTAGCTTAGTTTGAAAGAGAGACTAAAAACAAATTCGCTTGATAGTTTACGGGCTAAAAACATATTTAACCCGAATTTTATTTATGACCGTCTAGATTGAAGTTGAAAGAATAAAAGATTTATGCTCCATTTTAATTATTATTAGTTTAATTATTATTCTTTATGCAATTTCATTAAAATGATATATTATAATTTTTATTAATGTATAAAAAAAGATTTCATTAGAATTTGAAAAAAAAAATAAAGAGATATTTATAATAATTATAAACTACTATAATTATTTTTTATAATTTTTTACAAATATTTTTTTTAATTTTATTAACTTTATTTCATCATTATATTTATAAAAATTAATAAATATTTTATTATAATGAAATTTTATTTAGTACTTTAATTTAATATATATAATTATATTTTCTTTTAAATATTTAATATTAAAAAATAAAAATTCATCTTTAAAAATTAAATATTTCATAATATCAAGTTTTTTTATCATGATTTTGATTTTTTAAAATTAATTAATTAATATTAAAATAGTAAGAATATAAATAGCAAGTTCAATATAAATATATCATTTAATTGGAGATGAAATAAAAGAATTATATAGACATGTGAATGGATTTTTGTTAGAAATGAGTACATGATAATCAAATTCTTCTTGATCCCCTCGATTTCCATCCTTACTCTTATTGTTTATATAATCAAAATGTCACTGTGTTAATTTTGAAATAATTTTTTAAATTAGTTGGTGTCGTTTTAAATTAGTAAATATTTTAATGATTACTCATGACATTATTTCAAATACACATTGTTAATAATGAGTCATAACAAGTTAAGTGTATTTTTTACAACATGTTTTACAATTCAAAATAACTGTAAAAAATCATGAAATAACATTAATTATATACAATTTTCAAATTACTGATTGTAATATAATAGTAATCTTCTAACTTATTTTATTAAAAATACTGATTAATCAGTTTAAAATAAAACATCTATCAGAAAAAGCAGTTGCAAGACCCAAATTGAAAATAATAAATATCTAAATTTCAAAAGATTCACAGGTAAAAAACTTATTTGAACCCTAAGTATAATCATTTGTAAAAGCAGTGGCGAATCAAAATCCAAAACGGCACTATTTAGCTTCAAACCCTATCTCTCTCCGCTTTTCTCCAATTTAGAGAATGCCAGACATGCTTGACCACAACGGCGCTCCCATCAGTTCAGTAAACGCCACCCCCAGCCGCGTGGCCACCATAAGCGTGGTGGATCACTGTCTCCCTTACGAAACCCACAACCTATACGATGTTACTTTCCACACTCATACCATCCACACCCTCCTCACCTCCGATCCCTCCCTCGTTCATTCTTGGATCTCCACCAACGTCCGCAGCAATCAAACTGGGCTCATGGTGGGCCTGGACATCGAGTGGCGGCCCAACACGCAGCGCAACATGCAGAATCCTGTTGCCACACTCCAACTATGTCTTGGTCAACACTGCCTCGTCTTCCAGATCCTTCACTCCCCTTCAATTCCTTCTTCACTAGTTTCCTTCCTTGCTGATTCCAATGTCACATTCTTTGGTGTTGGGATAGAAGAAGACGCTGAGAAGCTTCTAGAAGATTACAATCTCCATGTTGTTAATATTCGCGACCTTCGTTCTTTTGCGGCAGAGAAGCTTCGTGACAGGGAATTGAACCGAGCCGGGATTAAATCGTTGGGCCTCCGCGTGCTGGGTTTGGAGTTTGAGAAGCCCAAACGAATCTCGAGGAGTAGGTGGGACAATCCCTGGCTCACTCCACAGCAGATTCAGTACGCGACTGTCGATGCGTTTCTCTCTTACGAGATTGGACGCAGATTGAGTGTGTAAGTTAATTAATAGTATGGTTTCTCTGATCGCATTTTTAGGAAAGAAAAATTAAAGAAAAAAATTGACTTTTGTATAAATTAAAAATAAGAATTAAAAAAAAGAAAGTTAATTTTAATTCTTATTTTATTTTCTTATAAATGCTTACAGAGAAACCATTATTAGCTTATTTACTACAATTTACAGTTTTAGCCGCGCTAACTACAATTCCATGTGTTTATATCTGTATTGTTATATATATTTATGTTGCTACTGTTTATGTTTATGTGTGTTTTCAAGAACTCATGATAATAAGGTTTTATTTATTTTGAGATATCATAATATGTGTATGGTATTAAAACAAAGTAGTTGGGTTGACTCTTATTTGGTTATATTATAATTTTTAACATTATATATTGGTTTTTAATTAAAGAAAATTTAATGTGTTTTTGTCCGTAAAATTAGAAATGCTCAAAAAGTATAAAGTGATAAATATTAAATAAAATGATAATTACAAGATAAAATTTTGCTTACAAAATGAAACTATTAAATAAAATGACAATTACAAAAATGAAAAAAAAATTGAATATATATTTTATTCGTTTTTTACTACATAATAATACCTAATTTTGTAGGCACTTTTTGTTTTAAGAGTTACCACTTCCATTTCCATGTATTTTGTTGTATTGTTGGCTATTTAATAAACTTTTTAATTTAATAAACGCATCCTTTTGGTATTAATTGTAATACATACTTTTTATTCTTTTCAAATTTGTACTGGACTTGATACATAAGTATTATTTTGATGGTCAACATTATAATTATTAGAGTAAATTGATGGTAAAGTTGTACCGTTTGGGCCATCGCTTTAATTAGGTTAGTGTTAAAGGTAACTAGATGAAAAAGCTTCATGGGTGTTAGGTCATAATTGAGCTAGAGCTAAAGTTGTTGTTATTGAATCAATGGACGGAGCAAATAAACAATTAATAAGTCTTAATTAATAAGTTAAGATAGTCATTGAAGTAGTTATAACTAATTGACAATTAATTAAAATATTAACTGTTTGTTGGTAATAGGTCGGAACTAACTGTAAGTTCAATCTAATATATATATATATATATA